TTAGTATATGTAGTGTTAGTAGTAGTCGTTGTGTTAGTAGTGTTAGTATATGTAGTGTTAGTAGTAGTCGTTGTGTTAGTAGTGTTAGTATATGTAGTGTTAGTAGTAGTAGTGTTAGTAGTAGTAGTGTTAGTAGTATATGTAGTGTTAGTAGTAGTAGTGTTAGTAGTAGTGTTAGTATATGTAGTGTTAGTAGTAGTCGTTGTGTTAGTAGTGTTAGTATATGTAGTGTTAGTAGTAGTAGTGTTAGTAGTAGTAGTGTTAGTAGTAGTCGTTGTGTTAGTAGTGTTAGTATATGTAGTGTTAGTAGTAGTAGTGTTAGTAGTAGTAGTGTTAGTAGTAGTAGTAGTGTTAGTAGTGTTAGTAGTAGTGTTAGTAGTAGTCGTTGTGTTAGTAGATGTAGCGGTGGTCTCACCTGACGTGATTTGCCCGCGTGCTTGACGCTGTAGAACATAGGCCCCAACTCCGCCAGCCACTCTCCCTCCACCGCCGTCACACACTGCATGTACTCCTGTTACACACACACAGTTACACACACACACACACAGTTACACACACACACAGTTACACACACACACAGTTACACACACACACAGTTACACACACACACACACAGTTACACACACACACAGTTACACACACACAGTTACACACACACACACACAGTTACACACACACAGTGACACACACAGTGACCCACACACAGTTACACACACACACACAGTTACACACACACACAGTTACACACACACACAGTTACACACATACAGTGACACACACACACACAGTTACACACACACAGTGACACACACACACACACAGTTACACACACACACAGTTACACACGCACAGTGACACACACACACACAGTTACACACACACAGTGACACACACAGTTACACACACACAGTGACACACACACACACAGTTACACACACACAGTTACACACACACAGTGACACACACACACAGTGACACACACACACAGTGACACACACACACAGTGACACACACACACAGTGACACACACAGTGACCCACACACAGTTACACACACAGTGACACACACACACACAGTTACACACACACACAGTTACACACATACAGTGACACACACACACACAGTTACACACACACAGTGACACACACACACACACAGTTACACACACACACAGTTACACACGCACAGTGACACACACACACACAGTTACACACACACAGTGACACACACAGTTACACACACACAGTGACACACACACACACAGTTACACACACACAGTTACACACACAGTTACACACACACACAGTGACACACACAGTTACACACACACAGTGACACACAAAGATCCCCCATATAGCCTTAACAGATGAAGGCCGGAACGGTTCACGAGGGGGTGGGTGGCCAGCACCACGCCCGACCGCCTTTGTCTCCCTAGTGGCAATGTTTACACACCGCACCAGGTACTCATTTGAGGCTGAGTCGACCTAGGGGAGGCCCGGGACCGGTTCAGATAATCGTCACTGGTGTTGTCCGTGAGCGGGAATCGAACCCGTGTCGCCAGGTTCATAGCGCAGCGCGCTAACCGCTACACTATCGCTCCCCACACACACACACAGTTACACACACACACACACAGTGACACACACACACAGTTACAAACACGCACACAGTGACACACACGCACACAGTGACACACACACACACAAACAGTGACACACGCACACAGTGACACACGCACACAGTGACACGCACACACTCACATACAAAGATCCCCCGTATAGCCTTAACAGACTGTAGAGGGGCAAGTGCTGTTAGCGAGTACCTATGAAGGCCGGAACGGCTATGAGTGTGACTATGAGTGTGGCTATGAGTGTGACTATGAGTGTGGCTATGAGTGTGACTATGAGTGTGGCTATGAGTGTGACTGTGAGTGAGTGACTATGAGTGTGACTATGAGTGTGGCTATGAGTGTGGCTATGAGTGTGACTATGAGTGTGGCTATGAGTGTGACTATCAGTGTGGCTATGAGTGTGACTATGAGTGAGTGACTATGAGTGTGACTATGAGTGTGACTGTGAGTGAGTGACTATGAGTGTGGCTATGAGTGTGACTATGAGTGTGGCTATGAGTGTGACTATGAGTGTGACTATGAGTGTGACTATGAGTGTGGCTATGAGTGTGACTATGAGTGTGGCTATGAGTGTGACTATGAGTGAGTGACTATGAGTGTGGCTATGAGTGTGACTATGAGTGTGACTATGAGTGTGGCTGTGAGTGTGACTGTGAGTGTGACTGTGGCTATGAGTGTGGCTATGAGTGTGACTATGAGTGTGGCTGTGAGTGTCACTATGAGTGTGACTGTGAGTGTGGCTATGAGTGTGGCTATGAGCGTGACTATGAGTGTCACTATGAGTGTGAGTACGAGTGTGTGACTGAGTGTCACTATGAGTGTAACTATGAGTGTGACTATGAGTGTGTGACTGTGAGTGTCACTATGAGTGTGACTGTGAGTGTGGCTATGAGTGTGACTATGAGTGTGACTATGAATGTGACTATGAGTGTGAGTGAGCGAGGCTATGAGTGTGAGCGAGCGAGGCTATGAGTGTGACTATGAGTGTGACTGTGAGTGTCACTATGAGTGTGACTGTGAGTGTGACTGTGAGTGTGGCTATGAGTGTGGCTATGAGCGTGACTATGAGTGTCACTATGAGTGACTACGAGTGTGTGACTGTGAGTGTCACTATGAGTGTAACTATGAGTGTGACTATGAGTGTGTGACTGTGAGTGTCACTATGAGTGTGACTGTGAGTGTGGCTATGAGTGTGACTATGAGTGTGAGCGAGCGAGGCTATGAGTGTCACTATGAGTGTGACTACGAGTGTGTGACTGTGAGTGTGACTATGAGTGTAACTATGAGTGTGACTATGAGTGTGACTATGAGTGTGGCTATGAGTGTGACTATGAGTGTGGCTATGAGTGTGACTATGAGTGAGTGACTATGAGTGTGGCTATGAGTGTGACTATGAGTGTGACTATGAGTGTGGCTATGAGTGTGACTATGAGTGTGACTATGAGTGTGACTATGAGTGTGACTATGAGTGTGACTATGAGTGTGACTATGAGTGTGAGCGAGCGAGGCTATGAGTGTGAGCGAGCGAGGCTATGAGTGTGACTATGAGTGTGACTATGAGTGTGACTATGAGTGTGACTATGAGTGTGACTACGAGTGTGAGCGAGCGAGGCTATGAGTGTGACTATGAGTGTGACTATGAGTGTGACTGTGAGTGTGACTATGAGTGTGACTATGAGTGTGACTATGAGTGTGACTATGAGTGTGAGCGAGCGAGGCTATGAGTGTGGCTATGAGTGTGACTGAGTGTGACTATGAGTGTGACTACGAGCGTGACTATGAGTGTGACTATGAGTGTGACTATGAGTGTGACTATGAGTGTGACTATGAGTGTGACTATGAGTGTGAGCGAGCGAGGCTATGAGTGTGAGCGAGTGTGCGTACTTTGGTGGTCATGATGAGCTCGTGGTACACAATGTAGTCCGGAGTGAATCCCATGCCGAAGAGGGCCGAGGTCGGGTGAAGGTGGCACGGCATTCCTGTGCGGATGTTCACGTACTCACCAATGCCCTGCAGGGACCACCACAACCACCACCACGCTCACCGCCACGCTCACCACCACGCTCACCACCACCACCACGCTCACCACCACCACACCCACCACCACCACCACGCTCACCACCACCACAACCACCACCACGCTCACCACCACCACCACGCTCACCACCACCACGCTCACCGCCACGCTCACCACCACGCTCACCACCACCACCACACCCACCACCACCACGCTCACCACCACCACACTCACCACCACCACGCTCACCACCACCACACTCACCACCACCACGCTCACCACCACCACACCCACCACCACCACCACGCTCACCACCACCACAACCACCACCATGCTCACCACCACCACACTCACCACCACCACGCTCACCACCACCACACTCACCACCACCACGCTCACCACCACCACGCTCACCGCCATGCACACCACCACCACCACACTCACCACCACCACCACACTCACCACCACACTCACCACCACACTCACCACCACACTCACCACCACACTCACTACCACACTCACCACCACACTCACTACCACACTCACTACCACACTCACTACCACACTCACTATCACACTCACCACCACCACCACACTCACTATCACACTCACCACCACCACCACACTCACCACCACCACGCTCACCTTGAGCTTGCCAGCCTGGTGGAAGTAGGCGGAACAGATACACTTGAGAACACCACACTCACCACCACCACCACCACCACACTCACCACCACACTCACCACCACACTCACCACCACACTCACCACCACCACACTCACCACCACACTCACCACCACCACCACCACCACACTCACCACCACCACACTCACTATCACGCTCACCACCACGCTCACCACCACCACACTCACCACCACACTCACCACCACACTCACCACCACCACCACACTCACCACACTCACTACCACCACCACCACACTCACTACCACACTCACTACCACACTCACCACCACGCTCACCACCACACTCACCTTAAGCTTAGCAGCCTGGTGGAAGTAGGTGGAACAGATACACTTGAAAACACCACACTCACCACCACCACCACACTCACCACCACACTCACCACCACACTCACCACCACGCTCACCACCACCACACTCACCACCACCACCACACTCACCACCACACTCACCACCACCACCACACTCACTACCACCACCACACTCACCACCACACTCACCTTAAGCTTGGCAGCCTGGTGGAAGTAGGCCGAACAGATACACTTGAGAACACCACACTCACCACCACCACCACCACACTCACCACCACACTCACCACTACCACACTCACCACCACCACACTCACCTTAAGCTTGGCAGCCTGGTGGAAGTA